CATTATGTACCGGGGAAGCAGCCCTGCGGCGAGCGTGGCTCGGTGTCAGTATTGAGCGGAGTTTGGACTATTTTCACCCTGCCGCGGGATTGTGCTCAATCCGAGTCGGAATCGTAGGTCGGAGTTGGCAGAACAACATCAGACAGATCCGTCCGCCACTGCTCCGTTCCCACCTCAACCATGACAAACGCATGCGAGAGCGGGCCTCGAGTTGCGAACAGCAAAAGCAGCTGCGCAACAGGTACCTCGAAGTTTGACATCGCTGCAGGGATGGCTTGCATTTCGGCCTCTCTGCAATGAGAACGTCAACTCGCCGTGAATCTGCCGAGCCGTGCTTCGCAACTTCCGCCGCGGGCACTAAACGCGCACCTGGCTTTTTCTGGGCCCCCTGCCTTGTCCTGACGGTGCAACTCCTTCGAAACGGTTGGGTGGTCAACGGTTTCCACCGGAGGAGGAAAGTCCGGACATAGTTGCGGATGCCTGGAGCAACACCCAGATTTTCGCACCACTTTCATGAGTGTGGCTCTCACATGGACCTCGGCACGGCATTGCGTACTTTCCCACAGCACCTTGCTGGCCTCGCGCAGACTTCTCGGCGCTTCAACGCGTCCGCTTCTGGAGTCGGCTCTGCCTGACATGCCGAGATATGCCGAGGTATGCTTCAGCTCGTGCTGCAGCCTTGTCTGGGCTTCACCAGCAGCCATAGTAAACTTTCTACATGCTCCGTTGTTCCCTCCTGGTCAACATGTAACACGCAGTGCATTGCATTATACAAATCATACTACTCAGCAACACGCTCGGGGCGCGGCAAGGGCATATTGCCGAGGATGATCGTATCCGTAGCAAACGAAAAGCTCCTGAGCTTCTTTTGCCTTGTGCTTCGGCATCTCCAAAACATCCGTTAAAGCTCTGAGCAAAACAGGGTTGGAGATCCCACTGAGATTCCCAAGTCTCGGAAGTCCAAGTGGCACTTCCTGCACGGACTAGCTGCTGGGTGCAGAAGAAGACGGCCTCAGGTTGACTACCACCTACACATGTCGTTAGTGGCATTTACCAAGACCTTGCGAAGTGCTAGCAGCTTTTCGTATGCACTAGATAGCAGACCTAAACGCTAGTGGCCGAACGCACCACTTAAAGTTCTCCTGAGGCTTGGGCAGGTGGAAGTCCAGCCCGGAGGCAGTAAAGAGCAAGGGTGTTGTACCTCCACACTCAAAATTAGGGCCGATATGGGCTCCATGATCTCCGACTGGCAATGGTCGAATACTTCCAGCCAAGACATGTTCTTCGGGCCAAAGCCTTGGCCCCTGTCTTATTCAAGTTTCTTGTGGGAGCACTCTCCATCTGGCGGTGCTTCGTTCGTGAAGGCCATGGACCTAGGTATGCGGCTGCTGAAATGACAGGAGGAGGGCCGTGATTTATGTGGGAAGTACTAACCACAACGGCAGCAGCATGCCCAACTACAATGCGACCCTGTCCTCGAGTGCTTGGCTGGCATATGTCTCACGCTAATAAAGCAAATGGTCAGGACGAGACTGGGCGGGCATGTGACAGGAAACCACCGCCGCTGAACTCTACGAACACAGTAAGGTACGGGTGGGTGACTGCTGCTCCCATGGCAAGAACTTGCAGCACCGCTTTTGCTCCAAAGCTTCATGCTCCAAGTCTTGCATGTCGGCGCAAGCCATTTAGGCGCTGTCGAATCCCCGCGTATCTGCAAGCGCAAAGCTTGGGAGACATGAAATGCGAAAAGATGTGCCTTGCGTGCAAAACACATAAGAGAAGCCCATCCAAGGCCGTGTGGCTCAGCTTTGGGGCTCGCTCATTCCAAGTTATCAGTAGCCTGAACCCTACAGTAACATCCAACAATGATCATGAGATCCGAAAACAACTAACTCCCAATGACGCGTGCTTCCTGGCAATTAATTAGGATGCAGACTACAGGGCCCGACAAGTTGAAAGGGATCCCAAGTTTTTTTTAAGCTCCAGATCTGTCGGAGTCCTGCTTCGCAGCTCGGCGAGGCTGATGGTGCGCCGGCGGGCTTCTTGCAGCGGAGCCTGGCAGAGCACTGGCGCTGCGATCATAATCTGGATGTATCTGGCCATCGCAAACTGCTACCGCTGCAGCTTCAGTGGTGTGTCTACAGAGCTTCGTACCACTTTAAGCAGCCATCTCGCTTGAGATGTAATCGAATTCGGCAGGTTTTGTTCAGCCAGCTAGTAGCTGCGCCTTCAGATCCACGCTGGCCAACACGGCGGCAAGAATAGCTGCAATCCTGCCAAGGGACCACTGCTCCTCTTCCTATCTTTGGCCGCGAAGATCACGTGAAAACCTGTTCCTAGCTCAACTATGGCAGGTAAACCCAGCATGTCAGGCTTTAGAGTTCGACGACCCATTGCAGCCCGGAGGTCATATGGACGCTCATGGCGCTGCCCGCCATGCGGCTAATCGTCGACTCGGAGAGACTCCCGAGGTGCCAATGATGCGGCTTGAAACCTGTCGGCAGCGGCGAAGGTGCAGTGCTGTTCCAAAAGCGATGAAGGACGCAAACGGGTCTCGGCTGGCCAACCTTGGAGCATCATCATCTCCTCTCCCCGGAGTACACGCTGCAACCTCATAGATGCATATCCAGTTCTGCACTGCCGCTTCTGTGATCTTGCGCTTTAAGGCTTTAAGCTCATGTTGAAGCCCAGGGAATCTCCTGGCCTGTAGGACCAAAGCCTGGTGTTGGCAGCCAGAGGAGGAATCTCTCCCGTGAAGCTCAAGGATGCTCGGTGTGCATCCTGTCGGTTCACAGCTTTCAGAAACCAAAACCTGCCCTTTAGCTTCACATCACAATCGCAAGTAAGGTCTCGCCGCGCCTGTGAGATGGAGACAAAACGGATTTCGCGCCCCTGACTCCGGGCACGAAGCCAGTGTATCTGGCACAGGTCCGCCTCCCTGTAGGTCCGGAGCCACCTGAGTATTGGATAGTAGTGGCACAGCGAGTGTCACACACCTATCGTGAGTCGCCACGACTTCCCGGTGCGAAACCTCATGAAGACCTCCAGCCCAGAAAGCCGAATTCGCTCGCCCAAACACTTGGCCAGCTGTGGTCCTGCTTCAGAGAAGTAGGTCAGGTCATCGGCTGCGAGCCGCAGTTCGTGCCGGAGCCTTCTGTGCAAATAGCTGGCCTGGGTCTGCTTCTTGGGGGCAGTAGGGTGTGCAGCTTTCCTGCAGGTCACGACAGTGTTTCCTAAGATGAGCCAGGCAGCGTCGGATGTCATCGCCAGAAGCGACTCAATCCCTTTGGACTCCTCGTCGACGGAGCTCGAGCTCGAGCTCCTCCGCGGAGCGCGGGACAACCCGCCCTAGGCCCTACAGCAACCCCTGTGAAGAGCCCCGTCGGTCCCGCTTGCATCGCTGGTGTCCGAATTCAGTCGGCCACCAAGGGCAGGTCCATCCAAGCGGCCCTCGCTGAGGAGTTCTTCCGCATCCGGGCTCGGGCTGGAGTTGGCCTGCTTGCACTCAGACATGCGCACTTCCACGAGGCCGGCGAAGCGTGTTTTGCGCTTCTCATGATTCCGACTCGCACGGGCTGTAGCTACAGCGAAATCGCGACGATTGCATCCAGACTGCATGAGCCAAGCTGTTGCTTGGATTCGGCTGAACATTCAAACGAATCCTGTGCCAGCCAGTGTAGTACCCCCTCTGTCTTCAGCTGGGGCACCACATGGACATGAAGTTGTTCAAGTCCTTCTCTGACTCGCTCAAGCTGAGCCTGCCACGCTACTTGGATTTGCATATCTCCATGGCATGTTACTGCTTGTGGTGATGGTAATGCTTTGGCCGCTTCTGCCGCATCTTTGCTTTGCTCGGGGTTTGAGGCGGGAGCAGACCTCTTCTGCCGCATCTCTCTCACTCTCTCTCATGTTCTTTCGTTGCTGTTTCTTTCGTAATTAGTCATGTCTGATAAGGGTTTCAGATGTGCCTGCAAAACCCGCTGAAGAAGTGCCGAAGTGGTTCTGTTTCGGATTCGGCCTCAAGAGAATTACTGGGGTGTAGCGAAGAGCTTGCATTTACTGGCGATTGTTTCGCTAATGCAAAAAATCGACTTCCCCAAGGGGCGAGGGGGGGACTTTGATTGGTCGGGGTAGAAGCGCATCCGGACATCCGTGTTTGCACTCGTCTTGCCACCCTGGACAGGATTGGGTGAGTGTTGTTGGGCAGTGTAGGTGAGCGGATTCCACCTGTAGCCCAGTTTGGATCGCCTTGGCGTGCCAGGCCCGGTGGGTCCATTCAAGACTCAACGATATGCAATCTCGCTATTGCCTTCGACATGGGCCCATCGTGACAAGTGTAACTGATTGTACTTGAATCAACAAGCCTACGAGAACAAGGAGCAAACCGCTCGAAAGAGATTGGAGGATTTGAGAACAAGGAGCAAGCCGCTCGAAAAGGACTAGAGAATTTGAGAACAAGAAGCAAACGTCTCGAAAGAGACTAGAGACTTGAAGAACAAGGAGCAAACCGCTTGAAAGAGACTAGAGAAGTTGAGAACAAGGAGCAAACAACTCGAAAATAACTACAGAAGTTGAGAACAAGGAGCACACCGCTCGAAAAGGACTAGAGAACTTGAGAACAAGGAGAGATTAGAAACTTTGAGAACAAGGAGCAAACCGCTCAAAAAAAACTAGAGCACTTAAGAACAAGGAGCAAACCGCTCGAAAGAGAAAAAAACCGCTCGAACGAGATTGGAAATCTTGAGAAACAAGGAGCAAACTGCTCCAAAGAGACTAGAGTAGTTGAGAACAAGAAGCAAGCCGCTCGAAAAGAACTGAAGCAGTTGAGAACAAGGAGCAAAGCGCTCAAGGAGACTAGAGAAGTTGAGAACAAGGAGCAAACCGCTCGAAACAGCCTGGAGCATTTGAGAACAAGGAGCAAACCGCTCGAAAGAGACTAAAGATTTTGAGAACAAGGAGCAAACCGCTCGAAAGAGACTAGAGAATTTGAGAAGAAGGAGAAAGCAACTCGAAAGAGACTAGAGAAGTTAAGAACAAGGAGCAAACCGCTCGAAACAGCCTGGAGCATTTGAGAACAAGGAGCAAACCGCTCGAAATGAACTAGAGAGTTTTGAGAACAAGGAGCAAACCGCTCGAAAAAGACTAGAGAAGTTGAGAACAAGGAGCAAACCGCTCGAAAGAGATTGGGGAATTTGAGAACAAGGAGCAACCGCTCGAAAAGAAACTAGAGAAGTTGAGAACAAGGAGCAAACCGCTCGAAAGAGAATAGAGAAGTTGAGGACAAGGAGCAAACCGCTCGAAAGAGACTAGAGAACTCGAGAGCAAGGAGCAAACCGGTCGAAATGAACTAGAGAATTTCTAGAGCAAGGAACAAAGCGCTGGGAAGAGACTAGAGAAGTTGAGAACAAGGAGCCAGCCGCTCGAAAGAGGCTAGAGAATCGACAACAAGGAGCAAACCGCTCGAAATGCACAAGAGAATTTTTAGAACAAGGAACAAAACGCCAGACAAAAAACTAGACAATGTGAGAACAAGGAGCAAACCGCTCGAAATGAACTAGAGAATTTTTGGAACAGGGAGCATACCGCTGGAAAGAGACTAGAGGTTTTGAGAACAAGGAGCAAACCGCTCCAAAGAGACTAGAGAATTTGAGAACAAGGAGAAAACCGCTCGAAAAAGACTAGAGACTCTGAGAAGAAGGAACAAACCGCTGAAAAAAGACTAGAGAAGGGTTCTCAAATTCGCTAATCCTTTTCGAGCGGCTGGCTCCTTGTTCTGGAATTCCCCAGTCTCTTTCAAGCGGTTTGCTCCTTGTTCTAAAAATTCTCTAGTTCATTTCGAGCGGTATGCTCCTTGTTCTCTAGTCTCTTTCGAGCGGTTCGCTCCTTGTTCTCAAAACCTTTAGTCTCTTTCGGGCGGTTTGCTCCTTGTTCTCAAAGTCTCTAGTCTCTTTCGAGCGGTTTGCTCGTTGTTCTCAAAATCTTTAGTCTCTTTCGGGCGGTTTGCTCCTTGTTCTCGAAATCTTTAGTATCTTTCGGGCGGTTTGCTCCTTGTTCTCAAATTCTCTAGCCTCTTCCGAGCGGTTTGCTCCTTGTTCCCAAAATCTTTAGTCTCTTTCGGGCGGTTTGCTCCTTGTTCTCAAAATCTTTAGTACTGTATCTTTCGGGCGGTTTGCTCCTTGTTCTCAACTTCTTCAGTTCTTTTCGAGCGGCTTGCTTCTTGTTCTCAACTACTCTAGTCTCTTTGGAGCAGTTTGCTTCTTGTTCTCAAGATTTCCTATCTCGTTCGAGGGGTTTGTTCTCTTTTGAGCGGTTTGCTCCTTGTTCTTGAATGTTCTAATTTTTTTTTGAGCGGTTTGCTCCTTGTTCTCAAAGTTTCTAATCTCTCCTTGTTCTCAAGTTCTCTAGTCCTTTTCGAGCGGTGTGCTCCTTGTTCTCAACTTCTCTAGTTCTTTTCGAGTTGTTTGCTCCTTGTTCTCAACTTCTCTAGCCTCTTTCGAGCGGCTGGCTCCTTGTTCTCAACTTCTCTAGTCTCTTCCGAGCGCTTTGTTCCTTGTTCTAAAAATTCTCTGGTTCATTTCGAGCGGTTTGCTCCTTGCTCTCGAGTTCTCTAGTCTCTTTCGAGCGGTTTGCTCCTTGTTCTCAACTTCTCTGTTCTCGTTCGAGCAGTCTGCTCCTTGTTCTCAAATTCTCGAGTCTCTTTCGAGCGGTTTGCTAGCTACTGTACCCGTTACCATTCCGAACACGATAGTACTTCTGGCCTCTGTGCTCCCTCAAGAATGCAGCAGTGCTAGCAGGAACGCTCATGTAGCAACTGCACGCAGTGGTTTTCAAGTGCATTCATGAACAAAGGCTAATGGCAAATGGAGCCACTTCTCTTCTCAATCGAGAGCGTGAACTCGTTCGGGAGCTTCTCGGCTCGAGCCGAGAGAATGCAAACACTACAGTTTAATTGGACGACCTGCCCTTTTCGTTGTTCTTTTTTTTTTCAAACGCCATGCGCATTCTGCTTGGAGACAGATTGAACTGCGCTTCGGCGCTGGGATGGGAGACCCTAGAACTCTCTATTCTGAGCTTTTTGAAGAATGAGTGTATTCTGGTGATTAGAACCATCATATGGGTAATTCGAATATCTAGCGTAAACCAACGAATTAACTTCGGATAACCATTGTTGTCTGGGTCGCCCTACTCTTCTGCGACCTACCTCGAAGGGCTCAGCTGAATCCGGCTTGTAGCTAACCTGTCTAAGTGGATCAGAATTAGAGGATCTGAGAATGTGACCGGCCAGCCTAACCCTTCTGGCATCAAGCATTTGGTCAAAAGGCATGATTTGTCTTCCAGCTGCTTGTGTTGCAAGTTCGAACAGCTTGGCATTTGTATTTGCCCGGTTGACATATGTAGCATCTAAATGCAATATCTTACGCAAGCCTCTGTGGTGAAACGCATTCAGCTTTCGTGCTAATGATTTTGTCAAATGAACTGTTTCAAGTCCATAAAGCAATCTGCTCCTGATAACTGCGTCGTAGATAAGAAGCTGCCATTTCCGATTAGCGCTGGTGTCCTTCCAGAAAACGTGAAGCTTCAACCAAGTACGCTTAACGTCTTGAATGCGTTGGGAGACTTCATGCCGAATATTTACGGTATGGTTGAGGTTGTTACCTAGATACACAGCTTGGCCTTGCTGGTGGCAACAGTGTTGACTTCGGATGTTGTTTTTGGTTCGTCGTGGTTTGCTTCGTGGTCTTGTTGACGGTAGCGGTGTTGCTGATGGTTGTGGCTATTTTGAGGTTTACATTCTGGGCTCTGGGCTATGGTGTTGCCATGCTGAGGCTGTTCTTCTTGTTGTTGCTGCTGCTTGCCTGCAAGCTGTTGTTGAGGCCAATTCAGGCATCAAGTCGTTGACACATTCGTCGAGCAACCCGGGGCCACGTGCGTTGACAAATGTGAGCCTGGCAGCAAACTAAGGACCACTCATGGTCCCCGTGGCCATACCAGTAGCAGTAAGAGCAAATGAGTAGCACAGTAGCAGCAACGGCCCTCTTTAAGCCAACCCAAGCCCTCGAAGGTAGTAGCCACACCTAGCAGCCTCAACATAAACTTTTCAGGGTGACTTCTCCCGAACCATCCATTGGATTCGGTTTGTTGCAGTGGAACTTTGCCTGCGCATCTCGATCGCGACCAGACCGTCTGGCAGGCCGAAGAAATTGGCGACCAACCATGACCTCTCAGGACCGGGGCTGGGCTTACAACTACCAACCACTGCAAGTACGACAGGAGGGGCTTTCTTTCTTAGTGACATTTCCTTGTCTGGAATCCGGTTCGTCTGAGCACAGCATTTCCTCCTGCTTGCATGCTCGCGACGTAGTACACGCGCTGTCGGCGCTGGGGCAGCCCATAGTTGGAGGCCAGTACCTGCCGATTATCGTTCGAAGTGCCCAGGACTGGACATGTTTTCCTGACTTTTCCTGTCTGTAGTGGCGCGCCCATGCAGCGGTGCGATGCTTCAAACTTAACAGCCCCCAAACTGTCGACTAAAACTCCAGCGCTGGCAAGCATCCGAGTGGCCTGGAAAGCATCTACTTCGTAATCTCCAGCTTGCTCGAGAAGAGCAAGAATCGCATCTGCTGGAAGGTTCCCTTGTGGATCCTGCTTCGAAAAGGCTGTCCGAAGCGGTCAACGTAATACACAATATGCCTCTTTCTCGGGTGTGTGACCGGGGCCGATAAGCCCGGCATTGACACTTACCCTTCAGCTGCCTGTTGTTGAAAACTGGCTCGGTCAGCGGCAAAGTGGGAGCCTCGGCCTCGTCCTTTTATGGTCTAGTCTAGGTCCTAGGTGCTCTGACCGAGCTTCTTAATGGGCTCCTGTCTGCAGGCTGCTACCAGGTCTTCCAATATCACCATGCGAGGTTGGTACTCCATGATGTACTTCACGGCTGCAAAGAAGCGGTCGGGATTTGGGCCGTGTGTGCCAGCATTGGAGATGTAAATATCGGGCTCCACCTCTGCTCAGGGAAGAATGCGCCCCAAGCCAAACTCTAGATGAAGCACAGCTTGGAGTTCTCTCTATTACTCTGTTGTGTGCTGAGCATACAAGTGCCCCATGCCCGCCTTTGGCATTGGCATCCACCGACCGGACACGAGGCAATAGCATCCACGGTCTCGGCCAATCATGCTGCCAAACAAGCCTCTGGCAATGAGTGTTGATTGCTGTTTCGGACTAGTACCATCGGCTTTGCTAACGATTGGCTTCGCATGTTGCCCTGCTAGTACTGGACCCGGGCACGTTCTGGTCTGGAGTCTGCCTGTGATGCCAGGAGCTGCTGACCTTGGTGTGAGATGGTCTGAGGATGTGTGATCGCGCCCCACGCACCATGCTCTCAGCTTCCTCTGCCGGTGCGCAACCACACTGTCAGACTGTGCGGCCCTGGTGCTCGAGGGATCGGACTCACATGCGAAGATGTGCCTGAACGGCACCCCGAGGTCGGACAGCGCCTTGAGAAGGCACGCGCTGCAGATTCAGATGTTGCTACCAGCTGCAGTTTTTTTGGGCAAAAGAGACCGCTTTCGCAAGAGGGTGCCACTTGCAGCTTGGGAGCCGAAACCGGGCCGACGCTGCCGCCGCAATCCGTCGCCAGCGCCAGCCTGGTGGGGGAAGGAGAGGACACGGAGGGCACGGAGGGCACGGGCCCTCTCGGTGCTCTCTCTCCGCGCTTTGCCGAGGTGCTCCCTCGGAGGCAGCCGAGCGCCGAGCAGCGGGAGCCAAGAGGCCTTGTCGTTTCCGTCGGCTCCGCGCGCTCTCTTGGATGCTCCCAAGATCTCCGGGCCAGGTCGCTTCGAATGTGCCATAAGAAAAAGGGCTATGTACAGGCACTAGCTCTCCAGCCAGAGACTGCGGCATGAGAGCATGACATGGCAGCTTGCTGGAATTCTGTCACATGCCTGTCGCAGGCTTGCCTACATCACTGGGGGCTCGACAAAGACTCTGGATGCAAACAGCCATGCTCATCCGTCGGGTCGACCTGCAGCGGGTGGAAGAGAAGCTAAACGAGCTGTGCCTTGGTGAGAATCTCGCTCAGCGACCAGAAGACCGGGTCGGAGATAGAAGGGGTGCAGCTCGCTGTGGCCTCAGCTAGCACCAGATTCTGCGGTGAGCGGAGCCGCCCATTTCCATCGCTGTTCCATCAAGGAGCCTAGCCGATCAACTTTGGCACCGTACGAGGCCTCAGATGGCATGCCGCACTGCACAGGATCCAGCTCCCTGGGCGGATCAGATTTGTAACAGTCTTGTCATTGGCTTCTTAGCCGAAACCGAGAATCGTTGGGATATGTGCTCAAGCAGTGCTAGACAGCTGAGGCCCATCTAGACTAACGATAAATCCAACAGTCTGCTCTCCTTACGAACGCCGAGCTTGCCGCCAAATCTTTCACTTCACCCGTGTACTCGCCAATTATGGTGAGGGGTTCGATATCCTGATGCAATGAACATTCAGTGATTCGTGCTGATCTCAGTGGGTAGCGGGTGCAGGTGACGAGCGGCAGCCAAACCAACCGGCAACTGCATCTAGAATCTAGATGCAAAGGACAGCATCAAAGGACTAAACCTGCAACGAGTTCGGCACGAACCCTGACCAAAATCTATCCCGGGAAGGCCTCTGCTGCGAAGAGCCCCAATCCTGCACCCGGCACCGTGGAAGGCCGCACAGCCAGCACAGCCGGGCCTGTGAAGCAGCCGGCTCTCGTCGACTTGGACGACCAAAACAAATCAAACGACGACGACCGACCACAGTGTCGAGCTTTCATATTTTTGGGTCATGCCTTAGCCAGTCTTGCGAACGCTTACATTGCGAGATTGGCGGTGTGCCATCCCTGTATCATCTGCTTAAAACACCGAGCAAAAACTGGAGACACGCAACAAAACCTGTGCCGACACGTTTAACAGACTTCTCCCATGGAGTTCCGGTGGCCAATCCTGCCTGCACCGCATTACTCAAGTGAACGTTCTCCGTTCATCTTCGTTCCGCTTTGCTTTGCTACCTGTCTTGCTTCTCACATTCTTTGCCCTGCAGTACTTACGCTTTGCCGTGGTGGCTCTTTGGCAGGCTTGTCGGTGGCAAACCAAGGCAAGTGTATTTTCTTGGTAATGCTCAAGTCCTGAACCTCGGACGTCGCACGGACCTCCGTGTGACAAGCGATGCAAACGAAAGCTGTGCTTGCTCCTGATGTAAGTATCAGATCAATACAGTATGCTACTTCTTTGAGCTGCAGTGCCCAAAGTAGATGGCAGCCGTCTGCGACGGATTCTTCTCTGGCCAGCCTATCTCCGGAGCGCCAGCAGCTTCTGCCAACATCGAAGAGGTGCTCCCGGAAGACATGTGCCATTCTTATGCATCAAGAGTGAGAAGCTTTTCCATCACCTGTCAAAGTCGGGCGCTTACATGTCTGGATGCTGCAGTTTTTAAGTGAAGGACCTCTTATGATCTCTTCACGACGACGTGTGCCACATCTGCCGAAACTGCTCGCATATGGCCGACCTTTGGGGACTCCCGTGTAGTATCAAACTAGGTTTTCTTGTGTTCTCACTTAAGCGGCTGCAGCACAAGTGTGCATCAATTTCAAAACTCTCTCAGAAATCGCTGAGCCAGGGCCTCTTTTACTTGAGCAGGAGGTCCGCCAATGCGGGCTTATGGCCCCCCTGTACAAGTCTCAGAATCTTGGTGAGGCGATCGTTGGGAAGGAACGCGCCGAGAGTAACCACCTGGACTGTGTCAGGCAACACTCCAGATGTGAATATGCAACTCAACCCGGAAACAGCATGTGCCATCGGAGCCAAGAAACAGGCTCTAACCAGTGGGTAACTGTGCGAGCCTGACAATCCGTGGCATGTAGCAGCTCTTGAAACGGGCATCAGGACGTTCCCTCCTGTTTACCCCATTTGCTTGCAATAGATCGCCAGCCTGAATTGGGAAAGCGAACTCTGACTCCTGAGAGGAATGAAAGAATGACAACAGGACTCTCGGGCGCTCGAACTTGCAAGCCCCGTCCGGCTCCTTAAGCTCAGACTCCGTCACATGGATGACATCCTGCAAGCTGTGCACAGGCGACGCTCATAGTTGAGCCTTGAGCCTCAGGGAAAGAAAGCTACTGCTTTTGCAGGTCAACCCGGCGTCACAGGTGCGGACAAACATCGGTGTTCTTAAGCTGAAATCCGCTGGAACTCCCCAAGTCGACATCGCGGCTTCCTCGGAGGCGAGGTGTCGATCGCGCTCATCCACCGCACAGAAGTAGCCAGGTTCATCCTGGGAGCTGCCTGCCAGTCTAAACCCGTTAGGGCAAAACCCGTTAGACCCGACAAGTCCAGAGACGAGCCTGAAGCGCTGAAGTAGGGTTCGCCTCACCCACAGCCCGCATGTCTAAAGTGCAGGTGTCTCTGCAGGTCTGAGGTCAAAGCAGAGCAGAATGGCACATCGTAGCTCCACGGGCCGCAACACTACGCAAGATCCTCATGGCAAATTGGGGTACATCTTAACCCGGTAAGCAAGCAGCATATGAGTTTAGATTTCCGCTTCACTGAGGGAGCGGCCGGGGACAAAGTTTTGGCCTCGGAGAAGCCGAGACCGCACCTCCTGCAAACTCACAGCGTCCCCAGGGTTTCGAACCGTTCTAGGATACTAGGGTTCTATGACATTCAACCCTGGTATTTCAACGCTAGCGAATCCTGAGAGACTTCCATGGGAAATCCAAAGCCGCCTCGCCAGGCCCTGAGATTTCATCTGCAAGTTTGCGACTTTCACAGCTTCTCAAGCAAGGACTTACACTCTTGCTTTTGTTCAGCGAAGGGATTTCACCCGTGCCTCTGCAACAGACCAACCTTCTCCAGCTCCAGCCTGTCTAATACCTCAGCAACGTCTGTTGACAAGCAGGCATCACGGAACTTGGCAAAACGCCGAACCGGAATACCCAACCAACGGGCGAAACTGCTGCTGAGTTGCACCCTGAAGTTGCCTCCGCACCATTAACCGTTGAACCTGTCGCAAGCAGCTTCACCAAGACTGCAACAGTTGCAATAGCTTCCAACACTTGCCTTGTACCGAAGGAAATCTTCCGCCCAGGCCTTCACTGCTTGCTCTTTGAACCATTGGGTCTCAGTGAGGGCTGCTGGTGCCTCATCTCCGGCTGTTGAAGGAGGTTGCACCTGTCCCGATGCACAATCTCAACACTAACACTTCTTCGGCCTGTGTTTCGGTGATACGCCAAGCCCGACTGCATGAAGATGTTACATTGTTTGGCCTTGCGACCTTTGTTAGCACTGTTGTTCCGCTCTTGCTGTCATATGTTCCTCTTCTCGACATGTTTGCACTTCATGCCCGGCTTGGCCTTCGCCCGCAGCCTTCTTGAAAGCGCGATCATGTCTTCGACGAACCCCACATTGCTGGCAGAACTGTGTGTATGCACGTCGGAAAGGGAAAGATGTGCTTGGAATTGGGAATTCAATCTGGGGCCTACGGGCCTACTTCTAATTTGGGCTGCGCAAATCTTGCGATCGCCAGGTCTTCCAGTCGCTTGTTAGGGCACTGCGGAGCAAGGATGACAGCCACGTGCCGCCACTGAGTTGTTGTAGCTGACACCAGGTGGGTTGCTCGTTGCTGCTTCGAGAGCCGCACCGAGTGCAGGAGAGCACGACGCCGTCCCCGATCAAGCATCTGACTTGATGAACCGTGGCAAGAGAGTGTTCAAGTTGCGGCGTGCACTTTTGCATAGGTTGGTTTGCTTTGCGTATTGAACTTATGTGCCTGTGAACCCTGTTTCGAAGGGCAGACCAGGCAGTATAAAGACTCGTGGTGTGAATCAGCGACTGTGCTAAAAGTGCGTGCAGTTTCGAAGAAGCTCCAGGAGACATGCCAGCCCGGAGTGTTCCTGTTATGGCTAGGAGCGTACATCTGAAGAGTATGAGTTTCAAAAGCCTGACAGCGAGCCTAGGACGAAACCCCCCTTAACTCGTGCAGTACATGTGACACATGTCTATCAAGCCATTGGCGATCCGTATCGAGTTCGTTCGATTGTTGATGTTCTTCGTGGTGCCGTCCTGCTGCTATTAAGGTGAGGGTCCGCGTCCGTTCCGCTCCGTCTTGTGTTATGCGTGCGCCGTCTAACTTGTTCGGTGGTATATGGACGGATGCAAGTCGGTCTGTGTGCCATGATGGGCCCCCGGGCCTGGATGCACTCCGCGCATTTCTCATTCCGGCATGCTGCGGCATGCTGTTGAACCACGATCACATGAGTGCTATCTGACTTGTGCAGCCATCCCAGAACGGTCGGCAGCTGCAACAGTAGACACATGCAAAATTGCAGAGCATGGTCAAAACACAAACAAAGACCCGAAAGAAGGGTGCGAATGCATCCTGCTCCCGGAAATCCTGTAGCTCGAGTGCTTCAAGCCCAGTGTCTGTGTCCGATCTGACGGGGTTTCTTCAACGCAGAGGCAGACAACCCTAGATTGATACTCAGTTGGACTGGGAAGCACCACGTAGCCTTCTGCACGGTGCTTCCTTTGGCACCGGAGGCAGTCAACTTGCACACTCGTGGTGCGCAGATACGGAGTGGCTGCACTCGGAAAGATGGTCGCTTGAGTATGGCTAGCGGCCAAAATTGTGTTTGTGTGAGCGAACTCTCGTGACCCGTGTGTCGATGGACAAACGTGTCACGTTGCCAGCGACGGCGGGGCTACGAACTCGGCCAGCTCCACGGTGTCCTGCATACTTGCGTTTCGCACTGCAATGCCTCACTGAGTAACAGCAGGTCCTCGGCCACCGAATCGTTGTCTACTCCATCGCGGCTGACCTACGATGTTGAATCTGGGGCTGGGAGAAATGACGGCTCTCACAGGGCATTGTGGACGTCTGCATAAAGTCACTCCGCTCCGCCCAAGCTTCCTGCTCTGTGTCTTTTTCTTTTCTGCCGCAACGAATCTCAACGAGGAGTCGAGCCACAGGCATGACGGCACCGCTCCACCATTCAAATGAGCGAACTCGCTTCACCCATTCCGGCAACTGTCGTGAAACCGCAAGCAGTCCAGCTGCCGGAATCTGCTTGTGTTCATGATATTCTGATGCTTACAGCAGTTGGGTTGAAGCTGTGGGCGCATAGATTCGCCGCCAAGCTGTGGACTGCCTAAATAAGTTGTCCCCACCGGACTCCTCAGCCTTCCGTCCCATCAGCTCGGCTGCAGCCTGCTCATGTTTTATGCACATGTGACGCCCCTATGGATGTTTTTGCAGTTGGCCGAATCAAGGCAGATGTAGCAAGTCCTGCCATTGCCTTCTCATGGACTGTGATGTTGGCCGCCATTCCTCGGACAGGAGGGGCTCGTTTTCCACGTCGTCCGCATCTTTGTGGTCCTGATGGCCACAGCCAGATTGCCACCCCTCCCGTGAAGGCCGCTGCCTGCCCCAGACCAACGCGGAACTGGTTTGTTTTCCACGTTGGCGAGCTTGGAACACACCCTGCTTGCAGAGCCTCTTTAACATCTCTTCCCTCGCCCTGAATCGGGTGTCACTGGTTCGGCTCCCAGCTTGTTCCCGGCTTCGTGCTAGTTTTTGCTTGCCAGCCCTTACTGTGGTTGGTGCCAAACTGGGGCGTCAACGCCTCTCTCTCTCTCTCTTGCTTGCTTGCTTGCTGTCGGCCCTAAGGGAGTTGGCCCTTGGGCCTCCCCCCACTTAAGGGGCGAGTCAGGCCCCCCGGGCGCTAAGGCCTGCTCGTATGTTACGGCTTTGTAGGACGGTGTGAAAGTAAAGGATGTTGAGCCAATTGAACGGCACGTATATTTAAGGCAATTTAAGGTTTACCACATATCTTTTCAGTGTCACTGCTATCTTTATTTTTTCCCACCCGCCCAGCTGACAAAGTCGCACCGCAGGGAGCTCGTCCGAAAACCTAAAGACCGCGTAGTGCCTGTATGCAAGCCCCGAGTCAAACAAGGAGGTAAATGATCATCGAGAAATAATAAACAACACAAAAGCCCACTAAAAGAGCCATAGCTAATGCAAACCTCCTTGCTCAAGTCGAACTCGCCTCGCTGCCCCGACAAATACATGTCCGTACTGGCACTACATACTGCTATCTTTATTTAGTGCAGTGGGATTTCGCTCACACTTCCCCACTTTCTTAACAAGCATGGCAAAACAATGAAACAAGCCAAAGTTACGTAAGAGGACTTGGTGGGAAGGGGCTGTGCAGCCAGCATGCCACAACTACTTCACCTCCGGCAGTGTACTTCTTCCCCGAAAAATAAGCAGCACACCGCAATTCGAATTTTTTAACTTGCTCAAGTAGTCAGCTGCTGTAGGTGTCTGTGGAGCTTTTCGCACAAACAGTG